CAAGTCCGTAAGTAACTACCAAACTGACTAGAATTAGTGCGGTTGACTGGCTAAACTACCACCCATTCGACATAAATAAACACCTTGAACCGTACCGAAATAACAAGGAGTGCAAAAATTCGACTGGTTTATACTGGCGCCTGACAAAGACATTAAATATTACTTACTAGCACTTAAGTTATGAAAAATTTATACACTTATAATTAATAGACAGTTCTAATATGAATAACAAACGTATGTACATAAATTATTAGGGTTTCCATCACGAAATGACGTCAACTGTAATGCAATAATGGACTTCTTTACGAAATCTAGTTGGTGTGTCCATATGCTTTACTTCTCCTAACAGATGGTTTGTGGCTCATTCGTCGTAGATCACCGGTTTTTATCGAGTAACACTCGACTTGGCTATCAGCATTTTACTTTGCATTCATACATTTGGGTCATTTTCATCAATAAAAGACAACTGGTATTTACTTGAATCACTACTCTGTTACAGAGGTGTCAGGAAGTAGTGGGAGTTTTAATATTTAGTCTGTACATGTGTTATTCTCGACCAAAGTATAAATACACGGCTCAATATTCTGTTCTTTATTTCTTTATGGCTGTAAATTATGGTCTATAAAAGTAGAAGACACGAGTAAGCTGATCTTTAACCATAGAAGTCTTTAAAGCAGTGCTTGCGTATTGCGAAATGATCATCTAGACAATATTGAGTTTAGGTACAGGGTAATAAGTAAAGGCAACAAGTCGGTTGATAAGGTTGCGAAGCTTCATCGACTAAGGTGGTTGGTATACGTATAACATATGCTTAACTATCGCCTACATCGATGGGGAATGTTAGGTGTTGTAGTAGGCTGATAAAAATACAAAGGGGTCAACCCGAAACATGGTATCAGTTCATGAAGTCATTGATTGTTGGTCTGAGCCATGGTGGTAGATGTAGACTAGCTGGTTGAGATCTGTGCTACTAGATAATATTTATTTATTTATTTAAACACATATATATTGGTACAAAAAGGCACCAGGTACATATGCGCCACACAAAATAATGAAAGTAGGAAGAGAAGGGATGAAAAGATAAGGCGGGCTGAAATGTACAACCAGAAGACTCTTTCAGTTAGGAAAGTTAGAACCATTCTTTATGTAGAAAGTAAAAGAAGGTTGCAGCAGGATCGCCGCTGGCTTCTATTCTGAGCCATATCTGATAACGTCTCTAGCCACTGTGTTGCACCATCTCTCGGACCCCAACCAAGGAGTCGTGAAGGACCAACAGAAGCTAGCCCTTTGCAGCTCTCTTTCATGCCACGACACCATGTCATACACTGACCTCCTCTCCGCTTTTTCCAACCAGTCCCAGGGTCGGCAAATAATGCACGACGTGGAAGTCTCTGGGACGACATTCGTAAAACATGTCCAAGCAACCGAAGTCGGTGTTTCAAGATGGTGACACCAATTGAATTATCGTCTCTGCGCCCGAACACACGATGCCGAACCTCTGCATTACTAACATGGTGTTGCCACTGGATGTCAGCAATCCTTCAGAGACAACGATGATCGAACACAGAGAGACGTCTAACATCCTCAACTCGGAGAGGCCAGGTTTCACAAGCATAGAGCAAAACTGCTCTCACCGACGCGTTGTAGATCCGACCTTTTACAGCCAGACTAACATCACGAAGGCGCCAAAGATGGCCCAGATTGGCATAAGCCGCTCTGGCTTTCCTTATACGTGCATCGATTTCATCACTCACGCCACCACCAGCACTTATATAGCTACCTAGATACACGAACTTCTCAACTACTTCGATCTCCTCACCATCCAGGGTGAGTACAGGATGAGAATCCTGCCAGTCTTGTACGAGTACTTTGCACTTGGAGGGTGCAAAGCACATGACGTACCTGCGGACACTGATTGCCAACTGATTAAGTGCTGATTGCATGCCTTGAGCATTATCACACAGTAAGACAATATCATCCGCATACTCAAGATCGAGAAGTCGTTCCCCAGGCAACATATCCACACCGCCATTACTTACATCCATCAGAGCTGTTTCCAGGATGTCGTCGATGGCAAAGTTGAAGAGGAATGGTGAGATCGGGCAACCCTGCCTAACCCCACTGCTCGAATGGAACAAGGGAGAAAGGTGGTTGTATGCCCTCACTCTGCCTGAGGTGTTCGTATACAGGGCCTTTAAGATGTTAATGAACTTCTCAGGCACACCCTTCTTCAATAGACAATCCCAGAGAACAGTCCTGTCCAATGAATCGAAGGCCGCCCTGATATCAAGAAACACTACGATTGTTGGCCTGCGATAAGTATGACGGTGTTCTAACATTTGGCGGAGGGTGAAGATGTGATCAATGCATCCTCGACCAGAACGAAAACCAGCCTGCTCCTCGCGAGTCAATCGTTCTCGGGTTTTAAACAATCTACGAAGAATGATAGAAGCCAATAGTTTGGACGCAATCGAAAGTAGACTTATCCCCCTGTAGTTATTGCAGGAACAACGTGAACCCTTTTTAAAGATAGGGACGACTATTGACTCATTCCAAGATGTTGGAACACTTTCTTCCTCCCAAACCTTTCCAAACAACGCAGTCAGTTCCTTAGCCAGAAAGTCACCACCATCTTTAAAAAGAGCCGGAGGTAAGTCATCTGAGCCAGGTGATTTATAACGTTTCAAGAGTTGGAGTTCCTTGAGGACTTCCGCCTCGTTTGGTGGGTCAGTCGTCACCGGCCATGGGGGGCAGGACAAGCTGGTCGATGTTGCCGGAGCAGCAGGCCAGTTGAACTGCCCTTCGAAAAATTCCGCTCATCGTCCAAGACGTCGACAGATGTTAGTGATTGGCATCCCGTCATCCTCGTAGATTGTTCCACTCACACCAGACTTCTTGCTGCCAGTGGCTCGGATGAGTTGGAAGAGCTTCCGGCAGTTACCAGATGCAGCTGCTGCTTCCATCTCATTAGCACGCTCCGACCACCAGGCTTCCCGGTCCTTACGCAAGCTTTGCCCAATTTCATTACGTAAAAGCCTTCGTTTGTGGTCAAACTCACGGTCACCCGGAGTAGACCGACGGGCTTCCATCAGTTGTAAAGAGCCAGAAGAAACCCAGTGCTTGTAAGCGGGACGTTTCGCGAAGCCGCAAGCGGCTTTACTCGCCATTTTCATGGCATCGTGAAGATGCAACCAATGCTCATCTATACTTTTCGGTGGGGTGGTAGCTAGCCTAGAGGCTAGCTCCGCTCGATACTTACTTGCAACAGAAGTTGCAGCCAGTTTACTAATATCAATCCGTTGGTGGTGGTCAATCCTTCGGCCACTGAAAAGTAAGGTGAGATTGGCGCAGACCAGGGCATGATCAGACTCCAGATAGGTACTCCAAAAGGAGCGGCAGTCTTGTACACAACCACGCCAGCGGTAGCTGATCGCGATGTGATCAATCTGAGTCCAGGCTTGGGATGCAGAGGGAGGACGCCAGGTGGCACACCGGCGATGACTGTGCCGGAAGTTAGTGCTGGCCAGAAACAGGTTGTGGTCTGTGCACAGTTGCAGCAAACGGTCCCCGTTATCTGTCCGGCGACCAACAAGTCCCCATCGGCCACCTAGACGACTCTCTTCTGTGCCCAGACGCCCGACCTGTGCATTCAAGTCTCCGGCTAGTACTACAATATCTGTCGAACGCGCTTTCTGGAGAAGAACTGTTAACTGATGGTAAAACTCATCCTTGATTGCATCCGGGCTGCAATCTGTCGGGGCATAGGCGGAGATGACGAAAAGACACCGTTTCTCACGCCGATTTCTTCTCACTTTGATGGAACTTTATAATCTAACGGCACATAACCGACTGTTAATGGGGATCCAATCGATTAGTGCTGCCTCAGCCCTAGCGCTTAGTGCGACACCAACGCCAGCAAGACCAGACGAAGATGCCACAGGGTCCCCGGATAAGCGCACGTGGAACAAGCTCTTCGAGGCGACAGATGGAGAGCGGATTTGTAGTACTTCACTAGAGTCTTGAATACGGGTCTCGGATAGACAACAAACATCAACATTAAGACCTTCCAAAGACATAGCCAGCCCTATCTGTTGTCTGATATGCATTAGTGTGCGAACGTTGAAGGAAGCCAGCTTGAACGGTGTGCGTGGTTTCAGAAAGACTGCTTCAGTATTCATTATCAGTGGAAGCATTCACTTTCAACAAGACAGTGACTGGAGATCGTTTAGATAGGACAGATTTTCCACCATGGGCGAGCTGCTGCATAAGTTGAAAAGTAAGGTTACACAAATTGGGGATAAAAGGGGGTGAGTTAGCGATATGGTAAATAATAATAATAATAAAGGTAATAATAATAATAATTTTAATTGTCTTGCTTTTAGTATGAGCAGGGATATTATCGTCAATAGAGTTCATCATTTCATTCACTAGATAACATGGCTCATAATCGTTCACAATTACGCAAATTCGTTCACTTTACATTTCTCTAAATGTTTTTCATTCTGCCTTCTCGAACTCCATTCTCAGTACCTAGTCTTTCTGATTGTCATCTATAGTACATTTCAATCCATATCGCTATTCATCCTATCATGCTAATGTAATATGGCAGCTTGAGCCGGCGTAGATTTGTGACGGACTACGTTGAATACAAATGACGAACTTTTCAACCAAACAGCACCCTGGTAAAAACTCAGGTTCTCTCTACTTCCAACTAAACTATGTCATGTAAGTAATTTAAACCCATTTTGTGATTACGATTTAAATATCATAGGTTGTAAGCAGCTGACGAGAGCCAAATTGATTAAGATGAATTCATGTTATTCTGCTTAAATCTTCATTATCCTTTATTGGATGGATGTTGCACTTTATAAAGTTGGACAGGCATTCAAGCGAACCTTTTTGATAATAAGCACACTATTTGTTGATTTCTTTTCACTGGAATTAATCAATATTTTTGTATCATGTCTGTTAGACTGGGGATTTTTTTCATTTTGTTTCAGAAAGCCTCTCAGTCCACGGTTAATTGGCTCGTAATAAAATCCTATGTTCTCCTCATCGAGTTCCGACAAACCCACTGGTTTGTTTGCCGGAATATCCAACGATTCTTGTGCAAACTTGTTTCAAGTTCCACTTACTATAAATAGTAATGCTCCAGGCCCAGGACTTTTCGGCAACCTAAAAACAACCACGGAAATCAGAACCAACATTAAAGAATCAGAACCTAGTTCCTCATCAGCCCATACAATAGGGAAAAATAGTAATGCCTCAAAAACAGTTTTCCATTCTCCTCGAAGTGGTGATGGTTTTGAAAAAGATCGAAATGATCGTTGTGTAATTGACACCAGTATGAATGGCAATGAGCACAATAGCTGTAAGTTCATCTTTGTTTTTCGTCATCTACTACACTTCTCTTGTATAGTTTGTAGTTTTGATTGAGTAGTTTTTCGACACATATCCAGTCTGTCCGAAGACTTACTACTGCCACTGATACTACTCTAGTCTTCATTTCTATAATTTAATCTAATTGTATTAATCACTCAGTCAGTCAGTCACAACGTAGAACTTCGTACGTACGTACATCAGTTCGAGTTGCCATACCACAGCACAGAGATGCAGTTGTCGATTCAAATCTCATAGTGGTAGAAGTAGTAGGAGTATAATCAGAAATCCAAAAGATTAGGGTTTGAAGAAATTATTGAAGGAGTATAGTACAGTGAAATAAATTTGGAAAGAGAAAAAGATAAAGATATGAGGAATTCAGAAGATTAGAATTTGGTAGAACACAAAGAGTGGATGCACCTTCGCCATTGCAAACGATTTTGAGCCATGTCATTCAAGGTCTCTAACCATTGGTTGCTGTCATCTCGCGAATCCCAACCAGGTAGTCTACACCTACCAACATGGCCCAGTCCACTTGTCACTGACTTCATTGATTTGTGCCACGTTTTGGTCTGGCCACCCCTAGCTTTCTTCCAACCTACTCCTACACCATGAAACATTGCACGTCGGGGCAGTCGGTGGTCGGGCATACGTAACACATATCCCAGCCATCTCAACTGATCAAGTTTCACTACTTCATCAATCGATTTGCCATCCCTACCTAGTACTCGTTTCCTAACAACTGCATTACTTACCCGGTGGTCCTAGGATATACGAGCAATGCTTCGAAGACACCTATGATCGAACACTAGTAGACTACGAATATCCTCTACTCTTATCGGCCATGTTTCACTGCCATAAAGTAGGACGGAGCGAACTGCTGCACAGTAAACCCGTCCTTTGGTTGGTAGACAGATATTTCACCTACGCCATAAATGATGCAAGTTGGCGAAAGCTAGACGAGTCTTCTGTATCCGTGTTGAGATTTCGTCACATACCAGACCACAAGGGCTGATGAGACTCCCAAGATAAGTGAAGTGGTCTACACGCTCAACTACTTCACTCCCTATCATTTTTTCAGGTGTCGATGCAACCCAATCCTGAAGTAACATTTTGCACTTCGAGGGAGAGAATCGCATCCCGAACATGCCTGCATAGTTGCTTATAGTGGTCAGAAGACTCTGCATGTTGTCAGCGTCTTCACCGAGTAAAACTATGTCGTCGGCGTATTCTAAGTCAGTAAGTGAGCCTCCCGGTAAAAGTTCAACTCCTGGAGGTTTAGCTGATGAAAGTGCTATTTCTAAAAGTATGTCAATGACAAAGTTAAACAAGAATGGGGAGAGTGGACAGCCCTGACGAACGCCACTTGTGGTAATCAGTTCTGATAACAGTTCGCCATAGGCTCTAACTCGACCAGTTGTGTTCGAGTAGAGAGCCTTTATGAGGTTAATGTACTTCTTTGGTACTCCTTTCAGTGACAAACACTGCCACAGAACCTCACGATCAACGTAGTCAAATGCCGCCTTAAGGTCAACAAATACTACTATTGTGGGACGTCTGAATTTGTGTCTATGTTCTAGGACCTTACGTAGAGTGAATATCTGGTCTATGCAACCACGTCCAGGTCGAAAACCAGCCTGGTTTTCTCTAACCTGCTCTTCACGAGCTTTGGTTAGGCGACCTAGTATTATTGAAGCTAATATTTTAGACACTATATTAGTCAAACTGATCCCTCTGTGATTGTCACAGGAGGACTTTTGTCCTTTCTTATAGACTGGCACAATCAGTGATTGGGACCAGTCAGATGGAATTACGTCCAGTTCCCAGATTCTACCTAAGACCTCAGTCAATCTCACTGCTAGTACGGGACCACCATCCTTAAAAATCTCAGGGGTCAACCTGTCAGGGCCTGCTGCTCTCCCTCGCCTCAGATTTCCTATAGCTTTTTCAACCTCACAGAGGGTTGGAGGACTTACATCAATTTGCCATTCAGGACGACTGGGGATCGTGGGTAACTGAAGTGTGGCTGAAGGCCAGTTGAACTGATCCCTAAAGTGTTCTGCCCATCGATCCAATCTCCTGGATTGAGAATGAATAATATGCCCATCTTTATCTGAGATGGTTTCACTGATATTCGGGTTCCTAATACCGGTTTCTTTAACGAGTCTGAATAGCTGCCTACTGTTACCTATTGCTACTGCCTTTTCCATCTCTCTTGCTTTCGCTACCCACCACTGTTCACGATCATTACGTAGGCTTCTTATAAGCCTGCGCTTAAGTTGACTCCGCTCTTCGTTATGTTCAGAGCCAGGTGGGATGAGTTTACGAGCATCTATCAGTGCGGTAGATGCATCCGAGATTCATTGTTTCTCCCTAACGTTATGGTTTACCTTACTAGCGGACATCACTGCTGTTTCCACAGCTTTTCGGATGTCATTCCACGCTGCCTCGGGGTGGACACAACTTACATGGCTGCCTAACTGTTTTTCTAGTTGTTCCTGAAATATATTCTTAGCTTGCCTATCATTAAGTAGAACCCTTAGAGGCTTCCCTGCAGTGTCTTTCCTACGACCAGTTAGACGCAGACAGATACGTGCTCGCACTAGAGCATGATCTGAATCTAAACATGTGCCCCAGAATGAGCGACAGTCTTCTATCGAGCCCCTCCATCGGTGGCTGATAGCGATGTGATCTAATTGGGTCCAACGTTGGGACGAATTCGGGGGTCGCCATGTCAAAAGATGTTTTTCCTTATGCTTAAAGCTAGTATTTGCAAGAAATAGGCGGTTATCTGAGCATAGCTGCAACAGGCGGTCGCCATTATCTGTTCTTTTCGCCATGACACCATAAGATCCACCCAGGTGTCTTTCCCTTTCACTTAGTTTACCTACTTGAGCATTAAAGTCACCTGCTACTATTACTACATCAGAACGCCTAGCTTCTCGGAGAAGGTCAGAAAGTTTCCTGTAGAACTCATCTTTTATATCGTCTGAGCTGCAGTCAGTGGGAGAGTTGGCAGAGACGACGAAGAGGCAACGACGAGTTTCCCTATCTTTCCGTGTCCTTACTGATCCGTTTAGTCGGACAGCGCATAGACGACTGTCTACTGGGATCCAGTCTTAAAGAGCTAGTTCTGCCCTAGGACTTAATGCTATACCTACTCCAGCGAGGCCACGGGAAGCAGCATCAGGGCTTCCAGATACACGAAGCGTGTATCGAGATGAAACTTTATTTTGATTAGGTGCGGTCAAATGAATGACACTACTCGGATCTTGTATGCGCGTTTCGGAGACGCAGCACACATCGATGTTGTAAGATTCTAGAGTCCTAGCTAAGGAAGCCTGTTGTCCTATTTGGCATAATGTTCGGACATTAAAAGTTCCTACATGTAGTTTAGAGCGAGGTTTCAGGAGACCAGGAATAACGTTCCGTGTACACGAATCGGTTGCCCTAGCGGTGCGAGGTGATAAAAGGACGTGGGAAGGGTTAGTCGTGGAGATAAGAGAGTTGTTAAGAGGTGTAGGAAGGGTTTGAAATCGGCCAACTTGGTCTCGTGTGCTGTTACGGGTATGAGGGCATTTATCACTTCCCGGCTGCCCACACCGTGGAAGGGTATTTCTTGAGGGACCTGAAAAAGAAGTTGGATTAGTGTTGGTCTTAACGACCTGGGAGCGTGACCGCAGTGCCCAAGGGACAACTGCTTGAGGCCGGTCAAGCAGGGCCTTTTTGTGGGGTATTTTTGACGTGTTAGCTCCGTTCTTCAAAAGTCCTTACCGCCGGAGACGGAAATCCGTGGGATAAGGCGAGGCGTGCATTTTTAGGGTCGACCTTTTCTAACCCCACCCCTCCTTGTGGGAAAGCAGCATCGCTGTCATGCTGGTTGTCTGAAGGAAACACCTTACAGCTTTCACACCTCTGTACAGTCAGCAGTACGACTTCGCCTTCGGACATTGGGTTTGCGGCTTTTAGTCTCACCGCTCTTCAAACGACCTGTCTGGCATGATAGGACCTTGAGGAACGATTGTTCCAGCCAGTATAGCTCGATTGGTTCGTCAAGATAGGCAAGCCCGACCACCACGTCAAGGTAGCAGCAACGGTTGCTTCTCGGCTCTCTGAGCTAAGATCATGTGTAATTGTATTAATGCGTTTTAGTAACTTTTAGCAATACGTATATTCATTCTGTTCGAAGATCCATTACTGCTAAAAGTTGAGGTAGGGATATTAAAAGTGCTTAGTGGTTAACATACTCATCAGTCAGCCAGTAGGCTTCAAATTTGAACCTTGCTTCACCTACTTCCATCTAATTGCTCGGTTAGTACTACTATCCCTCACAAAATTCCAATATACGTATCTTAGGTTCCATGTTGCTTTTGACTGACTGGCAAATAAATTACAGTACAGTAATGTATAGGATTTATTGGATCCTGGAGAAGGATTACCTTTCAACCTTTTCTTATGACCTATTTTAGAAAAATTATGCCAGCAACTTGCAGTTTGTCATATATTACTTGACTTTTGAAAGTAAATTCATATATGTGAAATTATTTTAACTATTTAATCTGATAATGAGGTAGTTGATTGCTTAAATTATTCCAATCACATCGATGGATGCTCTTTTTCTGATGAACTACTCGTCGCAAAATTTCAACGTGAATATAAAATGGTGTCCATTCAAAAGGGCGAGTGGAAAAGGATGATACATATTAATAAAGCCGACCATTAGAGGGCGAATGCTAATGAAAGTGTACATTGAAAGGGGTGAATAACATTTTTATTGGTGTAAAATCTGTTTGATTTCCCCTCTGTCTCTCAGCCCTACGAATAAACAAAAAAGTGGTCTTCTAAACGTATAATAAAGAGTCTACTTTCAACAAACTATGTAACTCTTCAGATTTGGAAACAAATCGTTATTCTAATTACGCTAGTCACGTTATCTCGTAAGCCTACTTCAAACAGCTAGGGGATAGTCTATTTAGTGGGATGCCTCGAAAACTCTTGAGAAATGTTTGGTAAATTCCTTTTTGAGCAAGTTTTAGATTCTAAAAAACATACCTTTCTTTTAAAATTAAAATGTTATCTGCTATTCCACGTAGATAGTCTAGTGTCGATCTGTTTTCGTTATCTACAATCGGTCCGATACGTTCTGCTACCTTCTTATACTTTCTTTTCAAGTGCTGTTGATGGGCTCCTGCAACAGACTGTCCGATTTTCATTCCATTTAGACTCTTCTCTTTCAGAAAATCAATAAATTTCTATATACTTGGATGAGCGACGTCAATAAGCCTTTACACTATTCCTACACTACATTGCTCATTTTAGGAAGGACTTCTACAAAGCAGGGTTAGTAGAGTATGCTTCAAATCAGTAAAAATGTTAGGCCCCCTCTTAATGTTCAGTTTTACTAATATGCGCCTTTTTGATGGTCTCCCTTATTAATGCGCGCTCTTTTTCTCCCGCTCTTATTAGAACGAACCATAGGAAACGTCATATAAATATTAGCTCACTTGAGATACTTTTGAAGTCGACAAGCGGTTCGCTTTGATTTTGATCAGGGCTTTCGTATATTAGTACTACCATGTTTATGGTATTATTAAACTTCGTGGGTACAACAGGAGTTTCCTATGTTTTTGGTTTGGTTTTGCACTTGGAAAAATCTGTTGCATCTGTTAGGTTTTGCGTGTTTTATGTTCATTAATTGATAACGAGAGTAAGATCACTTTTCGTCTCTCTGAGCTAAGATCACGCGTAATATCTGTTCTTTGCATTGTAATTTATTCAATGGTCTCTAAACTGAGAATCAATGAAATTACCCGTATTTTTCATCTGCGGACTGGTTCCTTGAGCTTGATCAACCCCATCCACCGGTCGGCTTCGTATTTCATCGCATTAACTGTTTGACTATGAGCTATCAGCTTACGTTTTTAAGCTCGGTGCGGATGGTTGAGTATCTTCAGTCTTTGTAAAAGCGATCCTCAAATTCTTGGACAAGAACCTGTATTTAGTTTCTGAGTTACTCATGTACAAATAATTCAATTCTTGTTCACTATGTTGCGGTTTAAATTCGACTAGATGGTACACTTCACTTAATATTACTATGTTAGGTCCATCGCTATACTATGCCGTTGACTAATCGTTACTGTTTGCTAACTTTTTTTTCTATTGCAATCAAGTTTCGTATTGTTTGTTTACTCTTTATTATAATCCTTCCATTTGTCAGATTTCGATGTTCCTGTATCTTCGAACAATGAAAAAGGGTGCTTAGATTCAAATGATATCCAGAATGCTGCTAACTTGTATTGGCCTGCAGTTAAATTATCTCGTTTGCCGACTGAATACAACACAAAAAGTTTTCTACTGAAGCACTTTCAAAGTTTTGGTTCTGTTGAACGAATTATATGTCAACCTTCTATGGATGCTGCTTATATAGCTTTTAATTCTTTGGTTAGTATCCATTTGCTTGGCGGCTACGTGTTTGCTTCATATATTGAGTTACCCACATTAAGTTATCAGCGTAAAACAAAAAGACAGTTATGGTTAACTAGTCTAATAGAATGCATTATTGGTTGCTTGGATAGTGAGAATAACTAACTACAGTTATAAACATAGCACATCCCCTTTCCAAATAATTCCAAGTTTTGAATCAGCTTGAATACCCCCATTGATATGATTAACCAAACTCATCTATCTGGGTCTAATTCATACAATCGCTGTTCAGACTCCGATCCATCGGTTTGGCCGACAAATTGTTGAGATTGTATGTTGTGTGAATCTGTCCATTAAATTTGACAGCATATGACTCTCAGAAGAATATATTTCGTTGTTACTGGGTACGGTTAATACGTCGTCCGGCTACTAGTTACACAATTGTATCTCAGTGGTTTATAAAGGCTTGTTACTGCCTGTCAATAACAAAGTGTGTTGTAGATAAGTAAATCAACAAACACTAATACGTCGTAATATTGGCAAATGGAAGTAAAATGTTACTTATTCCGTTTTGGTTATTTAGTTTCTATCTTTCCTCTACATTGTCAACATATTTTTTAAACCAAATTTTTATTCATTCTCAATGTTTAAGTCTTCTGCAAATCGAGCTAAACGATCAGGACGTGAGTGTATTGCATCTGCTAACATCGATTTGCCTAGTTCAGTCCTTTTTACAATGGCACGATGTCGTCGTCAAACTAATTCTGGATCAACACCAATATCACCTAAGTTAGGTCCTATCAAGGGTAAAAACATTATATCATCCATGTCTCCATCGCGTACATCTCTGAAAAGAACAATTATATCACAGTCTGTAAGCTTATTTTCAAATGTATTTGTTTTCATTTTATGTGATATTATTTTTAAATAACATGTAACAGCTAGCGAATTCATATTAAATGACAATCCATATTGGTAACGGTAGCCCCCGAATGCCCTGGTACGGCCGAGAGTGGAGAGAGTCCGCTCTCCGTCTCGAAATGCTCTCACATGGCCACGTGTATATAGCCTCTGAGAGGGAAGTCCTACTCACTACCTTCTCGTGGCGGAGGTGTTGTTTACAAAATTGAGCGGACGAAAAGCGAATGTCCGGTGCTCTAACCGGCTTGGTGGACACGGAAAGTTCACCTAGGGGAGTTGGAAAACCCTGATTCCAAACCAATGGTGCACATGGGCTCCAGTATCCTGACGGAACAAATGGTGTATGAATCAATCGTTGGTGACCGGCTACCATGAGACTGCATCTCCTGACGATGATCCACTGCCTTGTGGATCAGACCTTTATATCAAAGGCTCGGGGTATGGCCCCATAAGAACACCATCTGCTTCAGTCTGGGCACAAATCGAATGAGATTTGTGTGGCGCATATATATCTGGTGCCACCTTGTACCAATATTTGTGTTCAAATAAATAATAAAGTATTCATAGGATCGATTCGGAATAACTTATTAAGGTTATGTTTTACGTAAAGAGATAGTTAATCATCAAACTTATGATGATTTATCCTCTTTTTTCGAACTGATCTCATAAAGGCGTTTACATGGTTGGTCAACAACATAAGTAACACTTGACATTTTTTCAATCTTACTAACTACATCACATTTTCTGTAATCATTTAAGATTTATTTTTTAAATATTCTCTCTTTCGTAGAATATAAAGCAGGTCATGAATAAAAAGCAATTTTCTAGCGTATCTGTTTCAAGTGATAATCAATTATCATCTGTGTCGTCCCAGATAGCATTTTACAATACACAACCAACAGTATCATCCTCTATTACACAATCAAATGTATCCGCCTATAATACGAATAGTCTATTCAATCAAAAATCTTCAATTGCTACTACATTAGATGAACGACTGCTTGTATTACAAGAAAATTATAAACGTGATTGTGAACTGAGATCTATATCTGAATCTGTTGATCCAAAAATTCAATATTCAGATATATGCAACAACAATACTGATGAACCAATTCGTCATGCACCTATTAAAGGCACATGTGAAGATATGTGTCCTGAATTAGAACGTTATTGTCGAGCTGCTCATCAACGTGTATCTGTATGTTTTTTGTTGTTGAATACTATCGTAGTATGAACTTTATACAATGTGTAATTATCACTAGTTTGAGCCCAAGTTTCATATGAAACCTTGCCTCATATTTAATCTGTACAATTAGATAGTTTCTACAATCACTGTACTATAAATCTGGCTCAGAACGTAGCACATGATATTGCATATAGTTAATTAGCTGTACTGCAGTATTGAAATAGGGTTATCAGTACCTTGACATGGTGATCGAGCCTGCCTATTGTGATATAGCTCAAATGAGTTATATTGTCTGGAACACTTGTTTACTTAGGTCCATACTACCGTAACTAGTCCAATTTCTCATTTAGATCCCTCAAGAATGATTATACTTCCACATTATGGGCAACTGAGTGGGAAGTGATAACTGTCCTTATACTTCTAGCAGCACTAGAGATTCTCCTGTGCATATGTTGCCATATTGAAACCCCGAGTTTAGTGATCCATGGATATTCTTTTCATGATCCCTCAACTGCTTTCAAACTGAGCACTTTTTTCCTGACACTAAGCTCACAAAGTGAAAGACGAATATCTTGTGTTAGTATCTCCTGGTACATCACTACTCCGAATGAGATTCTTATGATTGTATCATTCAGTAGCTTAAGATATTGTCTAAGATAAAAATCACTGATGATCCTTTCATATTTTTGTTACATTCCTTACAGATGGTATAGGGTGCTTTTAAAATGAATGAAATCTATATCAATTGCATCTTTTAATGGTTGGGTTTCTTTTTGACAGTTTCACTTTACATAATAATTTCATCTCGTTCTACGTAATGCATTTTTGGTATCCTGTAGTATCAAGCAACATTTTACGTAATAAATAGGAAATACGGTAAAATTATATATAGTTCAGATCATGAGTCAATTATCCCCCAAATGCCCTTGTAAGGCCGAGAGTGGGGAGAGTCCCCTCTCCCTCTCGAAATACTCTCACATGGCCACGCGTATATAGCCTCTGAGAGGGAAGTCCTACTCACTGCCTTCTCGTAGCGGGGGTGTTGTTCACAAAAGTGAGAGGACGAAAAGCGAATGTCCGGCGCTTTAACCGGGTCGGTGGACACGGAAAGTCCACCTAGGGGAGTAGGAAAACCCTGATTCCAAACCAATGGTGCACATGGGCTCCAGTATCCTGACGGAACAAATGGTGTATGAACCAATTGTTGGTGACTGGCTACCATGGGACTGCATCTCCTCACGATGTCCCACTGCCTTGTGGGTTAGACCTTTAGGTGAAAGGCTCCGGGTGTGGTCCCCTAAGAAAGCCACCTGCTTCAGTTTGGGCACCTGAGCAGTATTACAGCCCTCACACAAATCGAATGAGATTTGTAAGGCGCATATATATCTGGTGCTCCTTTGTACTAATATTTATGTGCTTAAATAAATAAATCATGAGTCAATTGAAGCTAGACCACCATGGAAAACCTGGAAGCACTGAACGGCCGTTTCGTCCTATTGTGGGATTCCTCAGCAATGCGCATCCAGTGCTTCCAGGTTTTCCATGGTGGTCTAGCTTCAATTGACTCATGATCTCAACTATATAAAATTACTAATATCTCCACAACACCCCCTTCTGATACAGTAAAATTACTTATATGTTATCTAAACGAAATGATATTATTAGGTATATTTAGTACAATATGGAATTCTTATTACATTTTTTGCACTACTGTTAGCACTTTACTTGTTAAGTGTTTCATAAATGTTCATAATTTCTTTACTTAAAGATATTTGAGTGTTTACCTACCACAATGAGTGCTAATTCATCTTCTTGGGAGATGGATCATACTCGTGCTGTGAAAGATTATCAACGTTCTTCAGCTGATCAACCTGTACCACTACCTCGAGAACTACGACCGACATCTGTTTTACAACGTACAATGGCTTATTTACTAGCCAGCATAGCTGATCGCCCAGAAATTGATACCAGTCGTAGGCTGTGGAAACCTTGGTATGAATTTATGTGGACACGTACACGTGCTATTCGTAAAGATATACGACAGCAAAATTTATGTTGTCCAATTGTTATTGGTGTTATTGAACGGATAGCAAGATTTCATATTTTTTGTGCTGCACGATTAGTTGATCAACCAGTGGATACTTTTGATCCTCGTATTAATTCAGAAAATTTAACTCAATGTCTGCAAACATTAAAAGAGATGTACAGTGATTTAGATTCATCAATTACTTCTGAAAACATATGTCCTAATGAAGCAGAATTCCGAGGTTATATGCTTTTAATGAAATTGAACGATCAAAACGAGATCAAGTGAGTATATAGTTTATGTATTTAAGAGGTTTTGAAAGTCGTGAAAAGAATAGAGAATTTGTTAGTCAATGATGATACACAAACGGGCATGCGTTCATACTACAATGTACATATGTTGTTTTGGTGGTGAGTTATGCTCCCCTTGTTTTTTTTACTACTTCACTTGAATGTTGGTGTTTCTAACTGGGGAATACTAAGAATAACGAAACTCTAATCATTAACTCAACTAATAGTCATCACTATCAGACTAAATTGATAGCCATTTTTAGCATTATCTCGACAACAGCGGTTTATCACTTCATTTCAACAGTATCTATCGTCAAAGACTTTCCGAAAAATCTCCTTTCAGCAATATCACTTATTAAATCTGATGAAGCGTATTCTTTAATTTCTCTGGTATTTAATTCGTGGATGTGTTTGGGACAACTTGTCACTTTGAAACACCTTATGTGTGTCTGTTTATCAGTATAATTGATTCTATGGAGCAATTTGGTTATATATCAATTCCACAAAACCTACTCTTCCTAATAACGATTTCAATGCGTTTTCCTTCAAGAAAATTTAGTAAAACAATAACCATCTAGATCGCTGAATATGTCGTCAATAATCTTGCAGCGACCATATGTTCGATTCTCTAATTCATTTGTAATGATACTTGATCAATCTGCCTTTTATTAGTCTGCAGAAATCAGGCAATACTTATAGATAGGATTGTGTGTGATTTATGACTTCATCTTAGGACTTCTTTCTTTGCCGAGCTGCTAATTATTCTTGGTTAAGGGTTGCCTTGTTTCATAATTGTTTCAATCATCCCTGATTCAGTGAATTTTTTAATCAGCTCATTAAAAATACCGGATAGTGACTTGTTTCCTGATTCCAAACCAATGGTGAACATGGGCTCCAGTATCCTGAGGGAACAAATGGAGTATGAACCACCGGCTACCATGGGACTGCATTTCCTTATGATGCTCCACTGCCTTGTGGATCAGACCTTAGAGTCAAAGGCTCTGGGTGTGGCCCCCTAAGAAAACCACCTGCTTCGGTCTTGGCACCCGGAAAGTATCATAGTCCTCACACAAATCAAATGAGATTTGTGTGTCGCATATATATCTGGTGCCTCCTTGTACCAATATTTATGTGTTTAAATAAATAATGATAAATCTTTCACCTAGTTAATCTGCCTTGTATGACTTTGGTTTATTGAGCACATTTTTACCTTTGATGTTTTTTTAAATATTTTAGTGAAGCTCAACGTTTACCTGAACGACTACGTCAATCTAAACCTGTACGATTTGCATTTGCTACACATGAAGCTCTCATAACAAACAATTATATCAGATTTTTTCGTTTAGCTCGTCAAGCTACATGTTTAGTTGCATGTCTTATGCATAGATATTTTGTACAAATACGTAGTCAAGCTCTAATGAAACTATCTTGTGCATTTGCTGGACATCCAAAACGAGAGGTTCATGTGAGTATCGTTTCTTCGGTTTCCCTGTCGATTTTCTAATCTTATTTAAATTAAAGTGTTAGTTACAGTTAACGGAATACTATACCATGAACTTGTGGGAATTAGATCAAATTATTAATTCACTTACTTGTAAAGTTGTTTTCCAATCAGTCACATAAGTATTCCGTGCTTCGGTTTGGGCGCCCGGGTAGTATCCCAGCCCTCGCACAAATCAAATGATTTATGTGGCGCATATGTATTTGGTGCCTCATCGTATCAATGTCTATGTGTTTAAATAAATAAATACATAAGTATTCAGATCATGGTCACTGTGTTGCAGTTTCAAAGCTCAGTCTGATACATGTTATATAGTCTAAAACAAGGGAATTTTGGTCTATGCATTTATTGACTCAACCTTCAACTAGTAGATTATGGTGTTTAACCCTATTCCACCTTCTGAAGTTCAGTCTTACCTACTGTATAAGTAGCTTCCATGTAGTGTGATTTGTAGACGAGAATATAAACCTGTTCTTAGTTGTTTATTTCTAAGTCTTTAAGCTTGGACAACTGTTTTGTTCAGTTAATAGTCGTTTATTTAACATGAGTTAAGACTCAGTGCACAAAACATATTACATAATCACATTCGTCATACTAGTCTATGGACAACATTTTTATGAGAATTTTGTTGATGGTATCCACTCTCTCACATCTATGTTAATTTGGTTTCCAACTCATGACCTTACGTTTAAAAGACTATATAGTTAAGATCATGAGTCAATTGAAGCTAGACCACCATGGAAAACCTAGAAGCACTGGACGGCCGTTTCGTCCTATTGTGGGACTCCTCAGCAGTGCGCATTCACGATCTCGCCTCACGGGATTAGAACCCAGGACCTACCATTCTCGCTCCAGAGCACTTAACCGATAGACCCCTGAGCCGGCATCCAGTGGTGTTAATGTCTAACCTCAACCGATCCACGAAATTGCGCGACCAACTTCCATTGTACTGAGGTAGATACCTGTCCCTACCTGACATGGATTAGCTCCACTGGCCACGACTTCTCACTAGAACTCCAGGAATTACCTCATGGTGCCAGTCACTAGTGAGCATATGACTATTTAGATTTAACCTTATTTGTTGTCACATAATTAGCATCGAGTTAGCTTGTTCAGAAGTTTTTTTGTTGTTGCTACAATCATCACTTTTTTCCCCACTGTTTGTCTTAAATTTTTTAAAATAGTATCCTCTTTCTACCCTCACACAACAACTTGGTTTTGAAAATGAAACCGAATCTAAAGATTTCTGCGAAACATGGGGTTTATCAGTGTTTGATTCAAATGTGATATTTGAAAAACAAATTCAACCTCAGCCACCTACGTTACCATGGAAAGAACAGAGATCATTTCATGTACGTACTATTTTTAATCTTATCTATTGAAATTTAATTTGATCGCATATTTCTCTTTTTCTTTTTGCCGTACATATTGATTTTTGATCAGAAGGAGTTGTTGGGTTGAACAGTATTGATTGAAATATACACTTTTTGAAGTTCAACTATTCTAGGTAGCTTAGTTTGAAAGCTGGTAAGATCAAGAGCAGTAAATGTAAGATCTAAGGGTGAAGGCATATTATTGACCGTTATGGTTTGTGGATGCATTTTCCTATCAATAAACGCCCTTGCATCTAGCGATACTGTTCTTTCACAACGAAAAGTAGGGTTAAAAATGATCAGTCCTCCACAGAAGCATCAATGTAACTTATTCCGCGTTTAATACACTAGTTTTAGCAATAGCTACACTCCCTGTTTTGATTTTATATCATTATGGATGACATCATCTTACAGTAGCTGGTCACGTACCCGGACATTCACTCATTCAATTATTATGCTCAAATTATGTAATTACGTTTGATGCAGGACTTTAAAAAAAGTAGTCTTCTAAACTCCTTGATAAGTAATCCGTTGGTGTTCTGGATGTGTTTCTCTTCCTTTGAATACAAAACGTTACTTCAGAACTGATTTCGATAAACCCTTAGTTTGACCGTAAATAAGGAAGTAGTTAAGGTAGGAGTTGAAATGCCTTGCGGAATTCCGCCTCGTTATGTAGATCAGTCGTTACATAACTGATAGCCTGTTCTATCAGCCCTGATCTTGATTGGTCGTTGTTGATCATTGTCCTGTCCTGAATTCGACTTTCGACCACTAAGTCCCAAGTTCAGACCGTGGTTCGCTTTGTTTTGGGCAACCGCATGATATCATTGGCCCTCACACTTAGATTGTGGCTTATACCTGAGAACCTAGTGAATAAGTTAGTTTAGTAATAATTAATTAAAACTAACGTTGCGGATTTTATGTCATCTAAGACGTTTTCAATCACAACAACTCTTAAAATTAGTCGCGTTCAAACCTCATTCAGAAGAATGAAGACTCACTGTAGCACACCAATACGAAAAACCGGAGAAAAAATATTTAATGTTCTTCAAGAGAACGGCAATCTCATTAAAAAAAGTATTTACCAAACTTAACAACAAGATCTAAAGCAAATGTGGAAACCAACAAACGGATCATCCTACCATATTATAAAGGGCATCAGAAATTGGAACAAAATTTTTGAGGCCATTTGAAAAAGCTTTATCTCGCAAACCACCAAGATCACTTCAATCAAACTTATTCAAGCTAAATGATTAAATTACAAAAGAAAGTCCAGAGATTATCTACAAAATAAATTGCTCCATCTACGAGAAACATTGCATTGAACAAAGAATTCACAGTTTTCATCTCCAGATGCATGGACATTAACTATCTCTCAAGGACCACAATGTGTCTTCGCACGTAATCAAATAAAGAAAAAACATTCGACTAGGAAAATGTTGGAATCTTAAAGAGAATATTAAAATGATCACCCAAACCAATTAGCAATCAATGAACATATCAAAATCAATCCAATTTACCAATCAATTATAAAAACCATGAACAATAATAAGGTTGAAGATTAGGTCAAAGAGGTTGATCATCAAAATAAATATCCATATAATTACAAGTGAAAGGTCAACAACAACAACAACTAATCAAACTTGACACAATAGACTGTCAATTGTGATGCGGAAATTCGAATAGCTCACTTCTATTTTAAATTTGTACCGTCGATATTGCCCAGAAGGACTATGAAAGGTTTACGATTAAACTACTAATCTCAAGCAACGGAACTCCACCAAAACTGTCCAGCTAAGCTATAAATCTTCTCTTATCCTTTTGAGTAAGTTATTCACAAAGACTAATCATTGGTAGAATGTCCTCAGTGAACTCAGATAAATACACCACGATGGTTCATTTTACATGTTTAACCTAAAGTAAATATGATTAAGCAAATGTTAGGATATGGAGTTTATAGGTCATTCATCAGCCTATGTTATCTATCTATCTATCTATCACATACTAGTTATCTTTAATTTTATTAATAGTCCCTAATTCGTACGTTCGAACTTCAAATGATGTATTTATTTTAAGCTTAACTGTTTCTTTTCATCAATAATTCGAACTTGTAACTATGGAACCTGATAACTTATGTGATTTGATTATTTGAAATTTTTTATTGTGTTATGAGATGATAGCAATCGATGATTAAAGTTCGTAAGTGACATGGTTCAAAATCGTTTGCAATGACGAAGGTGCATCCTTCCTTTTTTGTGTTTTCCCAAATCTTAATCTTCTGAATTCTTCATGTTCCCTATCTTTTTTCTCTTTCCAAATTTATTTCACTGGATTATAATCCTTGAATAATATCTTCAATCCCTAATCTTTGCGATTACTGCTTATACTCTTACCACTCCTACTGTGGTGTGGTCTACTTATATCCACATAAGTAGTATATAGTGATGGTCAGGCATAGAATATATTTTAGCAGAAGATCGATAAGGAACGAACAGGAATAAAGCTCAATCGGTACGAAATTGCATAAACAATGAAATCAGAGAAGACGGGCTGATATTTGCAGAAGGAACAGTTAAGATTGAGACAGTTGATTATTATTTTGCAAATTAACTGTTTACCGTATATAAGCAAAGATGGATAGTGGCTAACAGTGAAATCCAGGACGCGCGTCTCGTCCTATTTGGAACTTGTCAGCTGCATGTATCTGCATCTCAGAGTTGATGCTCACTCTGGGACTCGAACCCAGTACCTTCCACTCGGTCAGTGACTCCTCATAGCCGCTTGCTTGTGCGATGGGGTGAAGTTTAAATTCATTCAGTATTGTTTGTTTGAATATTCTCATCGATTTGTTAGGACTGCAATTGGTCAGTCTCTAATTGGCATATGTGCATACTGTGCAGTCCTAACAAATCGATGGGAAGATTCAAACAAACAATACTGAATGAATTTAAACTTCACCCCATCGCACAAGCAAGTAGCTATCAGGACTCAGTGGCCGAGTGGATAACGCGATGGCGTTTGAAGCGAGGCCACTGGGTTCGAGTCCCAGAATGAACATCAACTCTGAGATGCAGGTACATCCAGCTGACGATTCCCAAATAGGACTAGACGCACGTCCTGGATTCCACTGCTAGCCACTATCCATCTTTGCTTACCATGGTTGTATATAAAGTTATTCTCTTGTAAAATGGATGTATAGAGTAATATCTAGAATTTTCGTACTAAAAATACATTGACTATACATAAATAGATTGATTCCTGTTTATTTATTCTAGCTGGTTGAGAATAAGCGTATCGGTATCCCATTATCAGTTCTATTCAATGGTTCTCCTATTAATCCTTCAGATGCAATACCATCTCCTGTCCAATCTTCATTTGATATAAATGGTAAATATATTTGTTCACAAAAGAAACATACACAAAATGACAATGATACAATTGATTATAATAATCGTATTACTGACAGTAATGTTTGTAATAATAATAATAATAATTGGATCAGCCCATTCATATATCAACAACCGACAACAAATTCTACCTTGGCAACAACTAATTCATGGTTAACTGAAAGGAATACATATAACAAGAAACAAATATCTGATGAACTGTTAGAATTTGTATATAATGAATGTGTTGATGAAGTTCTGTCCTATTCAACATTTGCTCAAACTGTTCTACTTGAGGAAATCATCATTAATGAACTCATTGAGAAGTTAATCATAGATTTCATTGAAGATCATCTAATTGATGTATGTTTTATTGATGTTTTCATTCATTTTTGATTATCATCAATTGTTTGTTTGTTTTCTATAATCGCTGAGTAGTGGACTTTAGTCATTTGATACTCACAAAAGACATATTCACATGGTACTAGTTATTTTATTGGAACTGAAAACCTTATGAATTTTCACTTCCTATCCTCGATTTGATTCGATTTCGCCTGTTACCCTTCGTGGAGAGGAGCATAAGCCGCCTACCAGCATTCTCCATCCAACTCTGTCCTGGGTAAACTTCCTATCCTACTATAAGATAAATGTATTTACTGTAAAGTATTAAATGGATAGTCTTTTCGTTATTGGCGTTTACCACTACGAAAAATTGTTACGAATCATCTTTATAACCTGCCTATGTTTTATTGCTAAAGAATATATTCATTAACATATCCTTCTACATCTAATCTTGTCCCATCTTATTCCATCAATCTGCTACATAAGATATGCGTTTCTGTTGTAATCCTAGGGTTTTCTATTCAGTTTAAAATTCTCTGCTCCAAGTATGCTTTTTTTTAGTCTACAGCCCATCATTCTTAGCCGTGATCAATTACACGTTTCAATCGACAACGACTGATGTTAAGCAATCATGAGATAATGTAGAAGACTGTCGAATCAGAAACACTTTTTTTCTATACTGGTATTCAGTCTAACAAGAGAACATAACACAAACATTTTATTTATTTATTTATTTGAACATATAAATATTGGTACAAAGGGGCACCAGATACATATGCGCCACACATCTTATTTGATTTGTGTGAGGGCTATGTTACTGTCCGGGTGCCCAGACCGAAGCAGGTGGTTTTCTTAAGGAGCCACACCCGGAGCCTTCAACCTAAAGGTCTGATCCACAAGGCAGTGGAGCATCGTGAAGAGATGCAGTCCCATGGTAGCCGGTGACCAACGATAGGTTCATATGCCATTTGTTCCCTCAGGATACTGGAGTCCATGTGCACCATTTGTTTGGAATGAGGGTTTTCCAACTCTCCTAGGTGAACTTTCCGTGTCCACCAAGCCGGGTAAAGCGTCGGACATTGGCTTTTCGTCCTCTTAATTTCGTAAACAACAGTAATGCCACGAGAAGGAAGTGAGTAGGACTTCCCTGTCAGAGGCTGTACACCTGTGGTCATGTGGGAGCATTTGGAGAAGGATAACTAACTCTCCCTACTCTCGGCCGTACCAGGGCATTCGGAAGCGAATATCATATAAAAATCAATTGTGTTGGTAAAATAAACCACAGCCACTTTTTAATCGATTAATTGAAGTGTTTCCAGATAACTATTACTGATTTTTTTTCAAGTAATATCTGAATGTACATGTTATAGTAACGATCCTTACAGCCAATTTCGATTATGGTTCATTTTGGTTAAGCTTTTTTTATTAACTTAGTATAAATCGTCATTTGGATAGTAACAATTCGCATATATCTTTGTACTGTTATGATCACTAGAGCACACGACAGACTCTAGCCAAAAACGTTGATTACTTAAATATCATTCGATGATTCATCCTCCTCTCCACATATCTATGCTCTCAAATCCTATTATTATATTTTGCTTTGTCTTGCTGTGCCCTTATACAATTTGACTATAAATTTGTCTATGTAGTTGCTAGCGCTTGCTCACTGATACTTACTCATACTTCTCTCTATGTGCTTGTAGCTTTGTGGCCTGAGTCGCAGCTTCTCTTTACCTTCTGATTTCATGCACTGTTAAGATATTTGTATTATAACGGTTGTCGAGGTGATAGATTAGCAAAGCTTTACACTACAATGTATTATCTGAAGAAAGTTTATAGACTATTGTATATGTAACTATTGGATATCTGGTTTTATCTTAATGTAATCCAGTATTTTATAAAGATTAATTCATTTCAATAGTATGATCATTATGGGACTCCTCCCACAATAGGACGAAACGGTCGTCAAGCGGTGCTCCCAGGTGTTTCCATGGTGGTCTAGCTACAATTGACTCATGATCTTAACTATATAAATTTATTAATATCTCCACAAAACCCATATTGATTTGTTGTTGTTGTTTTTTGTTTATTAGCTTTTTAATAATAGGCTAGATCCAATACGTCGAATAGATAAAGAAATCATGGAAAATATAACAAATGAAACATTAAACTTATATTTATATAGTTTAGTACATCGTGAATGGACTGTAGAATTACTTTATGTAAGTTTATTTATTTTTTTGGGGCGAAAAATCTTTGATTAACCTTTAAAACCTAGAAATTCTATGATATTTTAATGGTTGAGTATCTGTTGGAGCTGTTAGATCCATAGAACTTACTTGGTGAATGCTTGGTAAATGGTGGCCTGTTTAAACATCTGGGCTACCTGTTCCTATCATCTAGATATTTCAACAAGTTATCTAATTTCGTTTGTTTTAATACATCATTATGTCTATTAATCGCACAACCTATTCAGGTGCGTTTCTGAAAAGTGTAAGACCTTTCGCTGTAAAGGTTACAGAAGGCTTAATCAGAGATATCGTGGTTGCTGCAATATGCAGCGAGAAGAATGTACATTATCCAGATGTCGATTGACTGGGCTGCTAAGTTGTAACTGGCGATCACTCAATATTTATCGTCAGGAAGGACGAAGAAGTAAGAAACGGAAACTTGTTGAAGTACTTTGTGCTGAGAATTCTATATTGTACCAAAAATATAATATTGAATAAAGCTAATAATAATAATAATTCCTCTTCCCATTTTGAAAATTTGAATTTCTTGTTTTCGCGCCAAAAGTACCCATTTTCACCTTCATGTTGTATTTCTTACTTGGGAGGACTTTAAATGCTATTGGTTTCTTGTCTCTTTTAGTATGCTAGTTTGTAATGTTTCTTAAGGATATTTTTATGTTGTATATATATATATATATATATATATATATATATATATATATATATACGTTTGAGTTTTGCTTATTGTTGCTGTTGTTGTTCATGCTTCTGGCTGCTTGTGGAATATATTTCCCTCTTCTGAACTTGAACTTCTCTATCTAGTTAGCGGGGCTGGGACTCATCGAAATAGTTAGCTGATTGATCATTGTGTCACATTGAGTCTTCATTCCGTTCGCACATTAGATGAACTCGTAATCTCTTCAAACATAGTAGTATCTGGCTCTCGTTAGATCGTACGAATGATGATTGTTATTGAAATATATATGCCGCCAACCCTCGTATATTTTTTTCGAATTAATTCATGGTAAAGAATGACAGAATAAAATAAATTAAATACGAGAATGAATTTCGAATACTTATATCCTGTACACTTGTTGATTCTGACAGGTAATCAGAGAAACGAAGTGAAGTAAACTAAGCGGAGAATGTACTTCAGATCTTCCTTGTTCATCAATGATGCTTCCCAGATACATGAATGTTTCTACATCTTCCATAAAATGTGATTGCGTTGTTTTTCACTGTTTTGTGTTTGAGGATCTTGGTTTTTTCCTTGTGTATGTTGAGGCCTATTGATGCAAAGGCTGCTGCTACACTAGTTGTCTTCATCCTCATTTGTTAATGTGTATGGGATAGAAAGGCTAGGTCATCTGTGAAGTCCAAATCGTCTCATTGATTCTGAGCTGTCCATTGTATTCCGTGCTTCCCCTCAGATATGGAGGTCTTCATAATCCAGCCAATCACCAGGATGTGTCTGTCAGCTGTCGTCCATGCACGACTTTCTAGTGTAGTCCGTCATCAGAACTCTGCATGATGTTGAAAATTTTCTTAGGTACACCATAGTGTCGAGGAATGTTCAACAAGGTTCTCCTACCCACACTGTCAAACACCTCATAGTCAAGGAAGTTGATGTATAGTGACGAGTTCTATTCAGTTGATTGTTTAACGATGATCCGTAGTGTCGCGATCTGGTGTGTGCACGACTGATCTTTACGGAATCCGGTTTGTTGTTGTCATAGTTGGGCGTCTAATGAATCTCTCATCCGGTTCGGCAACACTCTGTTGAAAACGTTTCCTAGTATCGATAGTAGTGTGATGCCTCTGTAGTCCTCACATTTTCTCAGATTTCCTTTCTTTGGTATCTTGATGAGGTATCATTCTTTCCAGTCTGTTGGTTCAACTTGTTCTTCCTGCTAAGTCTTCTTGAATAGAATGTGGAGCAAGTTCGCAGTTACTTCTATGTTTGACTTGAGTGTTTCGGTTGATATGTTGTCTGGTCGTACTGCTTTCTCACTCTTGATTTTTCTGATGGCCATGCTTATTTCTTAGATCATTGATAGGGTAACAGCCATAAGGAGGTATGTGTGTTCTGCTTCGATATCCTGTGGATTCAATGGAACTGGACTATTCAAGAGTTCTTCTAAGTGTTCCACCCATCTGTTCCTCTGTTTGTAAACCTGAGTGATTGGCTTCCTTTCTGTGTCTTTGATTGGTCACTCTGGTTTACTATATTTCCCTACTAGTTTCTTCATCGTGTCATCTGGTTGTTTCATATTTCCTTCTCCTACAGCTTTTTCCGCTGTCGTTGCTAGTTCTTTCACATATTTCTGATCTAATGCCCTTCTTCGCTTGCTTGTTTTCGTCTGTGTATTCAGCTTGTGCCTTGACTTTCTCTGTTCTTGTTCGACTATTGTCAATTGCTGCCTTCTTGTTCTTCCTGCGTTGAGTTTCAATAGAGACCCATTCCTTATGATGATGCTTCTTGAGTCTTAGAACCTCCTGACACGTTGAAGTTATTGTTTCTATGATCCATTCTCAGTTGTTTTCCATAGTAGTTTCGTCTTCTCTGAATAGATCCTGTAAGGCTTGGAACCTGTTGCTAAGAACTATATTGAATTCGTTGAGTTTGTTAGTATCACAGGGGAAGGCTTTACTAAACTTTTGTATTGCTGTTTCTCCAGTTCTCTATTACTTCTTTAGCTTCTGTTTCATCTTCACAACTGTCAGCTCATATCTTCGTTCTCGAGTCTTTCATTGACCTTCTGAAACTTTCAGCGATACAAATATTATCGATTTGGTTCTCTGTTGTGTGATCTGATGAGATCCATGTAGCATTGTGTATGTGTTTGTGGAGGAATATAGTACCACCTATAACCGTTTTGTTGAATGTACATGAATTTGCTAATCTATCGCCATTCTCGTTCCTTTCTCCCGGTTCCTGTCGTCCCATAATACATTCATACCCGGTGCTGTCCATTCCGACTCTGGAGTTCAGGTCTCCCATCAGCATGGTCAAATCCTTTTATGGGCACTTCTCTACGATCGATTTCAGCATCTCATAAAACTGGTCTTTTTCGTCTTCATTGTTATCATTGGTGGATGCATAACACTGGATATCACTCGTTGTGATTCCCTCCTTCTTTCTTTTAAAGGTTGTTTCGATGTTACTGGCTCCATGAGATTCCCATCCTATAAGTGCTTTTCATGCTTCTTTGGACAGCATCGGAGCAACTCCCTATGCGTGAGGAGTACTTTTTTCTTCACGGCCCGAGTACAACAGCATCTCTGCTGGATCTAACCATTTCTGTCTAGCTTGGTTTCAATGGGTTTCGCTGATTCCGAGTATTGTCAAGTTGTACCTCCTCATTCTCATAGCTATTTGACTGGTCTTCCCAGTCTTCCACATTGTCCGGACATTCCATATGCCAATGTTAATTGTTTTTCTGGTTGTCACAAAGGGAATTGGTTTCGTGATTTCTGAAGAATCTCGGCTTTCATCATAAGCTATCATAATGCTTCTGAATGAAGTTCCTTCAACTTCCAGGATAGAGTTTGAATGGTTAAATTTGTTTATTCTGGTATTAAGGTTTAATTAATGGGATTAAATTAATTAATTAATTTAATTTATTGATCGCCCAATGGGAGAGGAGCGAATTATCGATCGGAGCAGTGATACACAAAATCGTATTAGCAGTCTTGAGTACTTATCAGGCTTGTTATCTGCCTATCTCAGCCAGTTAAGTCCAGAACACTAATAACAGCCTCTGCAATATGAATCATTATTCTCAAACATACTTGGTTTATATACCAAACAAACTGACCACATCGTACCAATAAAATGGAAAATAACATTTGTACAAGATTTGGCCAAATGTGGCTGTGAATAGGGGGAACAGTAATTAATGGACTAGGGATAACTCAAGAATGGTAAATCGTACAGTAATAATTTATGGGTCAAAATAAAGCTTATGATAAGAGGAACACGAATATGAATAGTTTAGTTACTTAGCAATTATACAATAGGAAATATATCTCATATTGGTCCATAAACAGTCTTCTGAAGTTACCATTCATAATTCTCCACGGGATACAACAATAACCATTCATAATAGCAGTACACTTCTTCATTATTCACCATTTTATACTTATTAATTTATTAATTTCTAAGTATGTCCTTGCAACATCAGAAGTTTTACCCGTTGTCTCCGTCAAACGTCGATGAATGAATGATACTAACGATATGTGTATATATATATATTGCTTGCATGTATTCCGTTGACTGACCACATTATTACAATGTAGACAATAAGAATCAAATACAAAGGTTTTTCAAGTGTGTTTATATCATACACTCATTTTTTCAGAAGGACAAAAAAGAGAAGTTCGAATTAGATTGGCGGTAATAAACAGTTCAGTGAGTTATGGATAATTCAGACAAACAATGCTTAGATTATAAGTAGTCGATAAAAGTATAAATGACAGACATATGAATATAATTAACAAAGTCATACAACAAAGGTACATAGAAAGGGTATAATATACCAGACAAGATTAAACGGAAACATTCAATAACCAAGTAAAAATAGACTATATACGAATGTGATAAGAATTGTGATTGGTATGGCAACTAGAACTGATGTACGTACGTACGAAGTTCTACGTTGTGACTGACTTATGAAAGAAATCATTTGGCGAGGCTATAATTTATAAACGAACCAATCAGGTATAAAATAGAGCAGGTCTCGGATTTTGGCACGAAATTCACTCATCCATTTGGACAAATAGAGTTTTGGCAATATAGTTGATATTATTTCATGATGGAAATCGTAAATTTAATTTCTAACCTTAATCATCAACTATAAATCATAATTCTAATGCTTCATACTACTTTATAATCCTCATTCGATCCTGTTTATTATGTGACTAATCTCAAGATCCGTTTAGCGCCACTCAAAAGTCATCCATAAATTATTTATTTGAACACATAAATATTGGTACAAGGGGGCACCAGATACATATGCGCCACACAAAAGTTTGTCATTTCATTTAATTGTGTGAGAGCTATGATACTGCCCGGGTGCCCAGACCGAAGCAGGTTGTTTTCTTAGGGGGCCACACAATCAATCACAACGTAGAACTTCGTACGTACGTACATCAGTTCGAGTTGCCATACCACATTAGCATAGAGATGCAGTTGTCGATTCCAACCCCATAGTGGTAGAAGTAATAAGAGTATAAGCAGTAATCGGAAAGATCAGGGTTTGAAGACGTTATTCAAGGAGGTCTGATCCACAAGGCAGTGGAGCATCGTGAGGAAATGCAGTCCAATAGTAGGTGGTCACCAACGACTGGTCTATACTCCATTTGTTCCTTCAGGATACTGGAGTCCATGTACACCATTTGTTCGGAATCTGAGTTTTCCAACTCCCCTAGATGGACTCGCTGTGTCCACTAAGCCGGTTAAAGCACCGGGCATTCGCATTTTATCCTCTCAACTTCGTAAACAACAGTAATGCCACTGTGAGAAGGCAGTGAGTAGTACTTCCCTTATAAGAGGCTGTATACGTGTGAGGACATTTCGGGAGAGAGGGCAGGCCCTCCCTACTCTCGTCGATATCAGGGCATTTGGGGGAGCCCCCATAAATGATAGTTTCATCAATGATTTTTATCTCTTTTAATATACTCAAATTATTCCTATTTGTATTCCTACTTTTTTAATTATTATTATTTAACAGAATGAATATGTTGATCAGCTAATCAATGAACAATTATATAAATTGGCAACATCATCTTTAACTATATCCATTGCTAATTCACTTTATAATTATTCATTATTAAAATGTTGTTTTAATCATTTTCATTATTTAATATGGAAACATAATAAATTAATACAAAAAGAAAATTTATTAAATACAATGCCAACATCAATTAGTAGTGATTGTTTACCATTATGTTTAATGATGAACAATAATGAAAGGAATACAAATGAAGATATATCTACTATAAATGTATTGAAACATTCAAGTTATACAAGAATTTCATTAGAAATGTTAAAAGTAAGTTTATTTTAATAGTTGAAATCATGAGTTCATTGATGCTAGACCATCATGGAAAACGTTGAAGAACTGGACGGTCGTTTCGTCCTATTGCGGGACTTTTCAGCAATGCTCATTCACGATCCCACATCGCGAGATTCGAACTCAGGATCTATCGGTCGTGTGCGAACGCTTAACCTCTAAATCACTGAGCTGGTCGGCACCCAACCGTGGTACTGTGTAACTTCAAACAATCCGCGAAATTGAACAATCATCCACCATTGTCTTCAGTGATTTATTATCTCACAACAGACCTGAATGAACTCCACTGGTCACTGCTTCTCACTAAAACTCCAAGAAATACCTCTTGAAGCCAGTCACTAGTGAGTATATGATTGTGATCAGAAGGGAGTTTTGTGGAGATTTTAGTAATTTTATAGTTGATTGGTTGAAGTTAGACATTGACACCGTTAGATGCCGGCTCAGTAATCTAAAGGTATAGCGGTCGTGTGGTGAAATCGTCGATACACACTGCTGAAGAGTCTCGCAATAGGACGAAATGACCATCAAGTGCTTCCAGGTTTTCCAGGTTGACTCATGATTTCAACTATTTATTTTTAACTGTATATAAATACTAAATTAATCTATTTCCATACTGTTTTAAGTTCTAGACCGAAAGTTACACTTAGTGTCTATTTGATTTATAACTTGAATTATATTGGAAATGTACATAAAATATGTATAAAATTGATTTGAAATTATAACAATCTAATATGTATCAAACTATATATCATGATGGAAAATTTACTGAACAACGCAGTGGTAGTAGTAATAGTGTAGTCTGTTCTACTTATATCCATATAAGTAGTATATGGTGTTAATCAGATATAAAATGTATTTTGGCAGAAGACCGATAAGGAAAGCACTGAAATGTGGCGAAAGCGGTGGGAAAATACATGAACAATGGAATTAGAGAAGATGAACTGATATTTACAGGAGGAACAGTGAAGATTGATACAATTGGTTGTTATTTTGCAAATTAACTGTTTACTGCATGGTTATCAGATCTTAGTAAGATAGTTTGTAATTTGTGCTTAAATACATTCAATTGTCCCCAACCAGTGTTTTGTTCACTACAGTAGTATATTTGGTCTTCACATAGAGAATGTTTAAATTCCCTAGTATATGAACCTTTTCATGATTGTTCAAAAGAAATTATTATCATATCACTTATTCTATGATTCAATGTATGTAGCGCCAGTCAGTTATTCAATCAGCCACAACGTAGAACTTCGTATGTACGTACATCAGTTCGAGTTGCCATACCACATTAGCACATAGATGAAGTTGTCGATTCAAATCCCATAGTGGTAGAAGTAGTAAGAGTATAAGCATTATGTGCGCCAAGATCGTACTTTGTATAAAATAAATGTTTACAATAGTGTATATTTTACTAAAGTTGTATGCATTTTTCGAACGATATCATCTACATCAAGATCCAAATGACCTTAAAAGTAATCTCTGTGACAACCTATGAATTTGTACGTGAACATTAATTTACACTATTTTTTTCTTATTCCTAATCTCCGATTTGATCTACGATATGCGGTTTACATGAATTTTGTTGTTCAATGTAAAAAAAATATTACCACTTGGATTTCACCCGTCCTTAGGTTGTCGTTCGATCTCCAAACTACAACATCTACTATAAACAATTCACATGTGTTGAGTGTAACCCATTAGGTTGTTTCATTTGGTTATTGTATCATCATTTTACATCACACAGTCAAACAGGAATACAATATTATTCACATATCTTACATCAGTGTAAAAGTTCATTTCCTATCTTATGTTTTTATACTCCATATAATATTTGGTAACTATCAGTAAGGAGTATTGTGGTGTATGCTACTTATAAGTAATTTGTAGCACCACTCGAAAGTAAGAATGCCTTGGCAGCAGGAAGATATTGAAATGATGAAGTGAACAGGGAAGAAATCGGAAAGCAATCGAAATAACAACAGAATAAGAGGAATAGTGAAGTATTTAAGATTTGTATTCTTCTTCTGTTCATTATTTTCAAATAAAGATCATTTTATTTATTTGAACACATAAATATTGGTACAAAGGGGCACCGAATACATATGCGCCGCACAAATCTCATTTGATTTGTGTGAGGGACGTGATACTGCCTAGGTACCCAAACTGAAGCAGGTGATTTTCTTAGGGGGCCACACCCCGAGCCTTTGACCTGAAGGTCTGATCCACAAGGCAGTGGAGCATCATGAGAAGATGCAGTCCCATGGTAGCCGGTGATCACTGATCGGTTCATACGCCATTTGTTCCCTCAGGATACTAGAGCCCATGTGAACCATTGGTTCGGAATCAGGGTTTTCCAACTCCCCTAGGTGTGAACTTTCCGTGTCCACCAACCCGGTTAAAGCGTCGGACATTCGCTTTTCGTCCTCTCCATTTCGTAAACAACAGTAATGCCACTGTGAGAAAGCAGTGAGTAGGACTTCCCTGTCAGAGGCTGTATACGCGTGGCCATATGAGAGCATTTGGTGAGGGAGAGCGGACTGTCCTCACTGTCGACTGTACCAAGGTATTTGGGGGCAATAGAGATCATACTTCTGTAGTGATATTTCTTAGAACGAATCATGAAATGTTGTATGTTTACCCTTGTTCATTTCATATTATTACTGTTTACGCTTGTTTGTTTGTTTTTTCCAGTTAGATGATGAACTTACTTGGTCTCCAATGAAACCATCTTCAATATTTTATAAATATCCATTAGGATTATATAAATCTATTCTAATACCTACTCATACTTATTCAAAAACTATACAACAACAATTTACCAATATATTCCATTGGATTTATAAAAAATTAAAACATTTACCTATCGTTGTACTAAATGAATGGCCAACTTCATCAGTAATATCCAATCAATTATCAGGTATTATTGTTATTGGTTACTTTGATCATTCAATAACTAAAGAACAACTAATATCGATGCATTCAATGGATCTAGTTCAAAGTTATGATCAAGATGTCATCAAGGATTTATTGATTTTAGCTATAACTTGCTCATTACAAGAAATTTCTTGTTCATCCCTTGAAGATATTCATAATAATAATAATAATGATATCTATTTGGTACATTTATCTAATTGTATTTCATTAGAACAAAAATTTCAACCTAATCCATTTTGGTCAATGAATTTACAATATGGTCTTAGTTGGATAGAAGATTGTTTTATAAAAAAAATAAACCGTTTAAACCATCATACATTTCAAAATGGGTCCAATGCTAATCCAAAATATGCCTTGTCATCATCATCTCCGTCGAATACTGAAATGACTATGTTGTATAGAAAGCTGCATAGTTTAATAGATGAATACATTGATATAGCATTATTACGTCCATTGGCTAATTTATCTGAAATTTGGAAGTTATATGGGCTTGTTGATCCAGTAAGTGATTATATGTAATGTAAATATTATATACACCATGCATTTAACTAAACAAACTAGAAAAAATGGTAAGCAAAGATGGATAGTGGCTAGCAGTGGAATCCAGTTTGACGCGCGTTTCATCCTATTTGGGACACGTCAGCTGGATGTACCTGCATCTCAGATTTGTTGATGTTCACTCTCGGATTTGAACGTGCATTCTGGATTCCACTGCCAGCCACTATCCATCTTTGATTAGAATGCTTGTGAATTAAGGCAATTTCGAAGTTACACGGGCTTGTTGATCCAGTAAGTGATTACATGTCATGTAAATATTATATACACAATGCGTTTAACTAAACAAACTAAAAAATGTTTCGAATTAGATGAATATATTTAACTGAAACAGTCACACATTGTTATTATGACTCTTGTACTGTCCCGATCAACATATTTGTTTAAAATAGTAATCAGAAGAGGTTTTGTGGAGATTTCGGTATTTTCATAGTTGAAATCACTAGTCAATTGAAGTTAGACTACCATGGAAAACCTGGAAACACTAAACAGCCGTTTCGTCCTATTATAAGACTCCTTATCCTGGTAGGTCCTGCGTTCGAATCTCGCGAGGCGGGATCGTGGATGCGCTTTGTGGAGGAATCCCACAATAGGACGAAACGGCCGTCCAGTGCTTCCAGGTTTTCCATGGTGGTCTAGCTTCAATTAATTCATGATCTTAAGTATTAAAATAGAATCGATTTAGATTATGGATCAATCGATATTAAACCATCATTTAAAATCTGGAAGCCCTAAGTGGTCGTTATTTCTTCTTAGTATGTAACTTCTCAGCAGCTGACATCCACGATCCCACACGCGGGATTCAAACTCAGGAACCTCGACTTCTCTCGCAAACACCTAACCTCTAAACCACTAAGCCAGTATCCACATGTGGGTAGTCTAACATCAATCAATTCATAATCTCAATCAAAAATTACTAATCTACAACTTCATTACAAAAATTTGATCTATTGAATTATATACTTGTTATTATTTTATAAATTCGTTATTGGTTTTATGTCCAACTTTTTTTCACGTGAATTATTCACCAATCGAAATAGGAATTTTCTCATCTTAATACTGTGCCAAAACAATAACGTTCGACCGGTATGAGCAGTCTAGCCTTCTTATTGGTCCCTTGTCCTACTAGCCCTTCCACTTTTAGTCCAGAACACCAAATACAGGTTCTGTTACTCGAATCATTCATTTCAAGCATGCTCGGTTTATATACCAGCTAAACAGACCGAATCCCACCATAAAATAGAAAATAATATTTGTACAAGATCAAACCAAATGTGGCTGTGAACGTGGGAGACAATAATCAATAAACTGAGTATAACATAGGAACAGTAAATCGTATAATAATAATCTATAGGTCAAAATGATGCTTATAATAAGATGAATATAGATATACACAATCTAATTACTCAATAGTTATACAATAAGAATATATATATATATAATAGTCCATTAATAGGTCCCGGAAATTACTCGTACTCATGTCTTCGCTAGGATATAACATTATTAAATGTGTATGGCGAATTTTATCTACTGATTTAAGTGATGGAGTAGAATCCTTGAACATAATCTTTAATCAGATTATTAAACAGTGTTCAATTCATGATCTTCACAACTTCATAACGATAATTGATCTACTGAAAATCATCTTAAAGAGTTATTATATAAAATTTCTTTCATAAATTTTATTCATTAACTTCTTTTGTTATGTCTTGTGGCCGAGTGGATGCCCTGCTAACGTATGATATGATAAGACCACCAATCAGAGAGCAGTGAATTATCGATTGGAACAGTAACACACGAAAACCGTACGAGCAGTCTATAGTACTTGTCGGTCCTGCTTTCTGCCTAGCCCAGCCAGTTAAGTCCAGAACACTAATAACAGTCTCTGTGGTATGAATCATTGTATTTCAAACATACTGAGTTTATATATCAAACAGACAGACCACATCGTACCATAAAATAGAAAACGACATATGTACAAGATTTAGCTAAATGTGTCTGTGAATGTGAGAGGTAGTAATTGATAGACTGACGATAACTCAAGAATGCTAAATCGTATAAGTTAGAGATGAGTTTCATGGGAAGCTATCCAATAATGTCATTCTGTGATTCTGTCACCTCAATTCATTCTTTTGAAGAAAGTTTAGATGATATTCAGATTTCAGTTACTTACTTACGCCTGTTACCCACAATGGAGCATAGACCGTCAACCAACATTCTCCAACCCACTCTGTCCTGGGCCTTTCTTTCTAGCTTTATCCAATTGTTGTTCATTCTTCTCATGTCTCTCCATTTATCGACATAATGTGATCTTTGGTCTTCCTCTCCTCCTATGACCTTCGGAACTCCATGTGAGGGCTTACCTTGCGATGCAGTTGGGTGATTTCCTCAACGTGTGTCCTATCCACTTTCAGCGCTTCTTCCTGATTTCTTCCTTCACTGGAATTTGGTTTGTCGTATCCCACAGTAGGTTGTTGCTGATAGTGTCTGGCTAACGGATCAGAAGTATTTGCGTAGACAACTGTTGACAAATACTTGTATTTTTTGGATGATGACTTTCGTAGTTCTGCAAGCATTTGTACAAGGGTTAGCCAAATATGTCTGTGAATAGGGGGAGCAGTAATTAATAGACTGGTTATAACTCAAGAATTGTAAATCGTACAGTAATAGTTCTAGGGTCAAAATAAAGCATGAATAGTTTAATTATTTGGCAAATATAGGATAAAAATTATATGCATAATATTAGTCCATAACTGGATCCCAAAGTTACCATTCATTACCCATATCGGGGCATAACAACTTTATTTTATTTGTTTTTCTTTATTTTTCAGTCTTTAAAATCTTTAATTGACAAATATCATTCAATTATATTAAATCTAATTGATCAATTAATTCCTAAGGATAAATTCTTTACTAATCTATTACATAATAGTCTTATTCTATCAGAAAATATACTCAATTTAATATTAATTGATTACAACAATAGTAATAATAATAGTGAATCCGCCTGTAGCTCCTCCGGGGACTACTGCCGGTCCCAAGCCCGGGTAAAGGCTAATAATAATAATAATAATAATAATAATAATAATAACAATGACAGTAATAATGTTAATAGCAATGTTAATCATGAGAAGAATGTCAATACTTTATCTATATCATGGAATACTTACATTAATCATTGGTTAATTCTATCTAAACAATTAAAATTCAATTCATCTATTCATAATTGGATAATGATATCATTTTATAAAATTGAAAAAGATTTTATTAATTCATTGAATAAAACAAAAACAACAACAACATTGACAAATGATCAGTTCTATAATGCATTACCTTCAATTTATTTAGCGCCTAATTTAAATTTATTTTATGGTTTGATTAAAAATTGTTTAAATCAATTATTATTAATGAATAATAATAATAATAATAATAATAATAATAAACAATTACGTAATCATAATTATAATGAATTAATTAAAATATCATCAATGATAAACAAATTAATTAATCAAATAAAATCAAACAGTAATAATATAATGAATGAATTAATGGAATATTTTAAAGAATTAAGTAAGTTCAGTAATATTATTATTATATATATATATGTCGTTTATTATAATAATAATAATAATAATAATAATAATAATAATAATATAGAACACGTTCCTAGTTCAGTCGGTCAGTCACTCAGCCATAACGTAGAACTTCGTACGTACGTATGTACGTACATCAGCCCCCAAATGCCCTGGTACGGCCGAGAGTGAGGTGAGTAAGCTGTCTCTCTCCAAATGCTCTCACAAGGACAGCGTATAAATAGCCTCTGTCAGGGAAGTCCTACTCACTGACTTCTCACAGTGGCATTACTGTTCTTTACGAAACTGAGAGGACGAAAAGCGAATGTCCAGTGCTTTAACCGGGTTGGTGGACACGGAAAGTTCACCTAGGAGAGTTGGAAAACCCTCATTCCAAACCAATGGTTCACATGGGCTAGCTCCAGTATCCTGAGAGAACAAATGGCGTATGAACCAATCAGTGATCACCGGCTACCTTAGGACTGCATCTTCTCACGATGCTCCACTGCCTTGTGGACTAGACCTTCAGGTCAAAGGCTCCAGGTGTGGCTCCCTAAACATACCACTTGCTTCAGTCTGGGCACCTGGGCAGTATCACAGTCCTCACACAAATCAAATGAGATTTGTGGGTGCATATTTATCTTGTGCTTTTTTGTACCAATATTTATGTGTTTAAATAAATAAATGTACGTACATCACTTCGAGTTACCATACTACATTAGCACAGAGATTCAGTTTTCGTTTCAAATCCCATAGTGGTAGAAGTAGTAAGAGTATAAGCAGTAATCCGAAAATTATTATTCAAGGAGTATAATCCAATGAAAAAAATTTGGAAAGAAAAAAAAGAAAAAGATATGAAGAATTTAGAAGATTAGGCTTTGGGATAACGCAAAGAGTGAACGCATCCGAGCCTTTGCAAACGATTTTGAGCCATGTCATTCAAGGTCTCTAACCATTGGTTGCTATCATCTCGCGAATCCCAACCAGGTAGTCTATACCTACCAGCATGGCTTAGTCTACTTGTCAGTGACGTCATGGATTTATGCCACGTTTTGGTCTGGCCGCCTCTAGCTTTCTTCCAACCTGCTCCTACACGAAAAAAAACATTGCACATCGGGGCAGTCGGTGGTTGGGCATACGTAACACGTGTTCCAGCCATCTCCACTGATCAAGTTTCACTACTTCATCAATCGATTGGCCATCCTTACCTAGTACCCGTTTCCTAACAACTACATTACTTACCCGGTGGTCCAAGGATATACGAGCAATGCGTCGAAGACACCAATGATCGAACACTAGTAGACTACGAATATCCTCTACTCTTATCGGCCATGTTTCACTGCCATAAAGTAGGACGGAACGAAATGCTGCACAGTAAACGCGTCCTTTGGTTGGTAGACGGATATCTCGCCTATGCCATAAATGACGCAAGTTGGCGAAAGCTAGATGAGCTTTCTGTATCCATGCTGAGATTTCGTCACATACCAGACCACAAGGGCTGATGAGACTCATATCATTCATTCTCAATCCAGAAGATTGGATCGATGGGCAGAACACTTTAGGGATCAGTTCAACTGGCCTTCAGCCACACTTCAGTTACCCACGATCCCCAGTCGTCCTGAATGGCAAATTGAGGTAAGTCCTCCAACCCTCTGTGAGGTTGAAACAGCTATAGGAAATCTGAAGCGAGGGAGAGCAGCAGGCCCTGACAGGTTGACCCCTGAGATTTTTAAGGATGGTGGTCCCGTACTAGCAGTGAGATTGACTGAGGTCTTAGGTAGAATCTGGGAACTGGACGTAATTCCATCTGACTGGTCCCAATCACTGATTGTGCCAGTCTATAAGAAAGGACAAAAGTCCTCCTGTGACAATCACAGAGGGATCAGTTTGACTAATATAGTGTCTAAAATATTAGCTTCAATAATACTAGGTCGCCTAACCAAAGCTCGTGAAGAGCAGGTTAGAGAAAACCAGGCTGGTTTTCGACCTGGACGTGGTTGCATAGACCAGATATTCACTCTACGTAAGGTCCTAGAACATAGACACAAATTCAGACGTCCCACAATAGTAGTATTTGTTGACCTTAAGGCGGCATTTGACTACGTTGATCGTGAGGTTCTGTGGCAGTGTTTGTCACTGAAAGGAGTACCAAAGAAGTACATTAACCTCATAAAGGCTCTCTACTCGAACACAACTGGTCGAGTTAGAGCCTATGGCGAACTGTTATCAGAACTGATTACCACAAGTGGCGTTCGTCAGGGCTGTCCACTCTCCCCATTCTTGTTTAACTTTGTCATTGACATACTTTTAGAGATAGCACTTTCATCAGCTAAACCTCCAGGAGTTGAACTTTTACCGGGAGGCTCACTTACTGACTTAGAATACGCCGACGACATAGTTTTACTCGGTGAAGACGCTGACAACATGCAGAGTCTTCTGACCACTATAAGCAACTATGCAGGCATGTTCGGGATGCGATTCTCTCCCTCGAAGTGCAAAATGTTACTTCACGATTGGGTTGCATCGACACCTGAAAAAATGATAGGGAGTGAAGTAGTTGAGCGTGTAGACCACTTTATTATTATTTATTTAAACACATAAATATTGGTACAATGAAGCACCAGGTAAATGTGCCCCTCACAAATCTTATTCGATTTGTATGAGGGCTGTGATACTGCCCAGGTGCCCAGACTGAAGCAGGTGGTTTTCTTAGGGGGCCACACCCGGAGCCTTTGACCTGAAGGTCTGATCCACAAGGCAGTGGAGCATCGTGAGAAGATGCAGTCCCATAGTAGCCGTTGACCAGTGACAGGTTCGTCCGCCATTCGTTCCGTCAGGATACTGGGGCCCATGTGCACCATTGGTTTGGAATGAGGGTTTTCCAACTCTCCTAGGTGAACTTTCCGTGTCCACCAACCCGGTTAAAGCACCGGACATTCGCTTTTCGTCCTCTCACTTTTGTGAACAACACCCCCGACACGATAAGGCAGTGAGTAGGACCTCCCTGGCGGAGGCTATATATTCGCTGGCCATATGAGAGTATTTCGAGAGGGAGAGGTGACTCTCCCCATTCTCGTCCGTACCAGGGAATTTTTGGGGGCTTATCTTGGGAGTCTCATCAGCCCTTGTGGTCTGGTATGTGACAAAATCTTAGCACGGATACAGAAGGCTCGTCTAGCTTTCGCTTTATGATAGTGAAACATGGCCGATAAGAGTAGAGGATATTCGTAGGCTACTAGTGTTCGATCATTGGTGTCTTCGACGCATTGCTCGTATATCCTTGGACCACCGGGTAAGTAATGTAGTTGTTAGGAAACGGGTACTAGGTAAGGATGGCCAATCGATTGATGAAGTAGTGAAACTTGATCAGTGGAGATGGCTGGAACACGTGTTACGTATGCCCAACCACCGACTGCCCCGATGTGCAATGTTTTTTTTCGTGTAGGAGCAGGTTGGAAGAAAGCTAGAGGCGGCCAGACCAAAACGTGGCATAAATCCATGACGTCACTGACAAGTAGACTAAGCCATGCTGGTAGGTATAGACTACCTGGTTGGGATTCGCGAGATGATAGCAACCGATGGTTAGAGACCTTGAATGACATGGCTCAAAATCGTTTGCAATGGCGAAGGTGCATCCACTCTTTGTGTTCTACCAACTTCTAATCTTTTGAATTTCTCATGTCTCCATCTTTTTCTCTTTTCACATTTTTTTCACTAGATTGTACTCCTTCAATTTTATCTTCAATCCCTTATCTTTCACATAATACTTATACTCTTACTACTTCTACCACTATGATATTTGAATCGACAACTTCATCTCTGTGCTAATGTGGTATGGCAACTCGAACTGATGTACGTACGTACGAAGTTCTACGTTGTAACTGACTGACTGACTGAGACTCCCAAGATAAGTGAAGTGGTCGACACACTCAACCACTTCACTGCCTATCATTAGTTCAGGTGTGGATGCAACCCAATCCTGAAGTAACATTTTGGGGGGAATCGCATCCCGAACATGCCTGCATTGTTGCTTATAGTGGTCAGAAGACTGCATTTTGTCAGCGTCTTCACCAAATAGAGTGTCATTGTATAAAAATACTAAGCAATAGAAGTAGTTAGATCGTTTATTAGCAAAACAATCATAACAACTAACTAACTACTTTCTCTCATACGTATGATGATGATGATATTTCTTCCTTTATTTGTTTGTTTATTTATTTCTAGATGAACCATGTATGACACATTCAAATGCAATTCATTTATCACTTCATAATGTACATAGAAATCAAATAGAAACTTCTTTACAATCTATACGTAGACAGAAATCATCTACATCTATTGAACATAAAGAATCATTATCAGCGAAATTGAATGAATTATCTTTCAAAATTCAAAAAATTGAAAATTCTATAAATGATACTATAAAAGAAACCAAGAAATCTAAGTTAAACACAAGTATTTGATTCGAGAAAATCTGATCTGTTTTTTTCGTTGTTGGTGGTGGTCGTAGTCGTGGTGATTGTGATGTTGGCGGCGGCGGTGTTGGTGCATGATTGTACATGTTTGTTTCATTTCATATCACCGTTTTTTTGTAATATATATGTGTAAATAGCCTGTATACGTGAATATTTTTTTTAACATCTCTTAATGTATTTGAGAATCTTTTATTTGTGTTCACTATTTATATGTGACAGAGTTCTTATAAATTCTCTACCCCCTTCTTTCGAATGTCTCTTGTTTTTTTTCATTATCCGAACATTTTTCTTTGCTAAATAAGTGCCCTGGTAGGGCTGAGATCGGGGAGGGCCTCTGACAGGGAAGTCTTACTGCCTTCCCGTAGCATTACTGTTGTTTACGAAATCAAGAAGACGAAAACCGAATGTCCGGCGCTGTTACCGGTTTGGTGGACACGGCGCATCCACCCAGGGGAATCGGAAAGCCCTAATTGCAAACAACCAATATTGCAAACCAGTATCCTGAGGGAACAAATTGTGCATGAATCAACCGTTGGTGACCGGCTACCATGAGACTGTATCTCCTCACGATGCTCTACTGCCTTGTGGATCAGACCTTTAGGTCAAAGGCTCCGGATGTGGTCCTCTAAGAAAACTACCTGCTTCAGTTTGGGCACCTGAGCAGTATCAGAGACCTCACACAAATCAAATGAGATTTGTGCGGCGCATATGTATTCGGTTCCCTTTTGTACCAATATTTATGTGTTTAAATAAAATAAAAAACATCACAAAGCCTAGCATAAATATGTATTAGTCCAAGTTTACATATCTCATTATTACTACAGAGACTGAGGAAATTAACAATACATCTTAATGTATTCGAGAATCTTCTATTTGCTCACTACTCATATTGTCGTGAATGAGAGCATAGGTGGGGACAATCGATTGTATTTAAGCACAAAATTACAGAGTATCTCACTAAAATTTGATAATCATACGTTAGCTGAGTGGATAACGTGATGGCGTTTGAAGTGAACGGTAGTGGGTTCGAGTCCCAGAGTGAACATCAACTCTGAGATGCAGGTACGTCCAGCTGACGAGTCCAAAATAGAACGAGACGCGCGTCCTGGATTCCACTGCTAGCTACTATCCATCTTTGCTTATAAGAGACTGATCAGTTGCAGTTCTAAACAACAATGGAAAGATTCAAACAAACAATACTAAGTGAATTCATTCAGTAAACCTGAAATCACTGGACGGCCGTTCCATCCTATTGTAGGACTCCTCAGCAGTGCGCATCTACAATCCAGCCTCACGAGATTCAAATCCAGGACCTATCAGTCTCGCGCGTGAGCGCTTAACCTTGTTATACGATGTACGATTCGATAAAAATCTGCTAATTTTGTAAATCACATAACTACTTTCCTCCATTAATACAAGGTATAATGAACTAATCAAAGTTTTTATTCAACTTCTATGCAACATTTTTGATAAGTCTAAATAAACGTTTTACTCAGTTCCTAATCTATTCTCGTAACGTCCAAGCTAAAACTACATAGTGACTTGAACAGGAGAGAAAAGGTGCAAAATATACGGGAAGCACATTACTCCAAAGGTTCATTCATGCACAGAAAATATGGAGTTTTTATAGTATTTTAGAAGTCCTTGGGTTTTCCTGCAAATTCTGGAATGCTACTAAACATAGTAGCAGTATAGTAATTAGCCAGTCAGAAAATCTACATGTGAATTTTCACTTTCGTGTTGTTTCTGACAAAATGTTAGTGGCACATAGGTTGGGTTAAAGCATGTTTCATGCACGATTGTGTTGCTGCTAATTCTTATCCAATCAGCGCTAGTTGACGCTTGGAGAAGACTCTAGAATCTCTTCTCATGTAAAAACTATAAATATGCTAACGTATTTCTTATTTCGCTTCTTCCTTCCATCTATCCTTGTTATTCGGAATATAAATTCTCCCCTTGTTCAACCGTGTTCTGGTTTGGGGACTTATCGAGTCTACTGGTGTCCAAGAATACTAAGCAATAGGAATAGCTGGGTCATAATAACGAGAAATTATAACAGTTATAACACAAAACTTCTAGTGAATGCTGATTGGATAAAATGCTTCTTAGAGTTTCCTGAGCCGTTCTTGTCTTTTACGAGAAGTTTTCTGGATCACCCCAACAATTTTCGAAAATTTATGTAGAATTTGGTATCAGGTCTTAATGATCATTATATGAGGCTTCATGACCGGCGATCATAAATTTCAGGAACGGTTTCAATACTCTTATTTATGTATGCAACATCCACATTTGTGAATGATTGAAGTTAGATTGCTCCAAGGTATACAGCTTTTAATCAATTGGACTGGAAATGTGGCGGGACTAAACTTTATGGACGAGCCAATCAGAAGCTCTCGCGGGTTTTCAAGGTCACGTCGCTAAATTCGGTACCTGATGCTTACGTACGATCGGTTTACAGCGGATTTTAGAGAAGACGTGATAATTCAGCGTCTACATGAGAAGGGATTATTAAGAAGTTCTTATACTTGAGACTGTGGTACTCAAATGACTTATTTCGCTCGATCACGATTAAGGTTAAGACCCTTAGCCATGCCAACAACATTGAAGCTATGTGGTCGAGGCTAAAAGAATTTTTGAGACCTTATCATGGCTCCAGAGGTCGAATGCTATGGAGCCATATGGATGAGTTCCTGTGCCGTATGCACTATGATTTTAGAACTTCTGAACTTATATCTGACCTTGAGAAGTTTTGGGCCATATGAAGAAACAGTATCCGCTTTATTTTTTAATTTTTGTATATATTTTACTGTATACTAACTGCCTTCTGATTGGCTAGTGTTTCTCAAGGTCATTTAAAATTCGTTCAAAGGTCGTCCATAAAGTGTAGTCTCGCCGAATAATTCGTTAAACACAACGATATGAATGGATTCATCCTAATAATACAGTAGTCAACCGCAATTAAAATTACTGCTTTTCATTAAATTATGTCTCAATGTGTTGAGTAATATCAAAAGACAATATCTATGGGAAATTATTATTCAGCAGAGAATACAATTCTTTACATACATTTTCGACGCACTTACATCAGAAAATGATTAGACCTAACTGATTCGATGTCAGAATAAACTACCTGTTAAGACCAATCTGACCACATATCAACATGGATCAAAATGGGGAATTTCCTACCTCAATGGCCTAAGATGTTAGCCTATACTTTAGCCACAGTTTTCAAACTAATAACTTGAGATAAAGATAACCCCTTTATTTGATGACGATTGGTTTGCGTTAACACCTGAACTAACGACAGAGAGTGAAGTTGTCGACGCATTCGACAACTTCACTTATCTTGAAAGTCTGATCAGCCCTAATGGGTTAGTGTCTGACAAAATCTCAGCACGGATTCATAAAGCTCGTTTGACTTTTGACAAGGGGCGAGATATCTGTCTACCGACTGTGCAGCAGTTCGTTTTGTTTTACTTTACGGCTACTAAATGTGGCCATTAAGAGTAGAGGATACTCATAAGTTACTAGTATTTCGTTACAGGTGTCTTAGATATATTGTTTGCATCTTCTGAGATTACAGGTTAAGTAAGAGTGAGCCAACCCGCTACATCCAAGTGTGAATAGATATTTATAGTCAGACAAAAATAAGTTGCAGACATGTGATGAGTAAGATAAGAAATGCACACACATACGCTTACATAAACACAATCAAGGCTAATAAGTGAATAATTAAAAGGGTCAAAATATGATTGATCTATCCAGGGGCTAGAATAACATATGTGAGCTTAAAATAGTACCATCCCCTACAAGTGTGCCACGCGGTAGGGAGGATGTCGTTACTTCAGATTGTATCATTCACCCAAGATTTTTCCGTGGGTTACAGTCTAAGTTTTAATTCAGTACAATAGAAGTGCCTATAAATATTTACGAAGGCTTAGAACCTCCTCAAAATAAAAACGAATTTAGTATCAATTTCATTCTTTAAACACAAGTGCGGTTCAAAAAATGAACATATGTATGGAGTGATTTCTAGTGACATTAACCCATAACTTGCTCAATTTTAGACATACAGACATAAAATTGCTAGGAAACCGTAACCTTAATTTCATGCTTTCCATTGATTACCCGTTAGGTATGCTTCAAAATAACTCCGCCTGTAGTTCCTCCGGGGGTTACTGTCGGTCCCAAGCCCGGGTAAAGTAGGAGGGTTGGGCATGCGGTTAGCGACCCCGTCCCGTAGAAAAACAAACGCTAACTAGAAAAAATTATTCAAACCATTTAAGTAATGCTTTGGAATATCAACTGATTAATTCTTTATCAGAAATGTGAAATGAAATCATTAACACAAAGTAGATAAGTATGGTTTTCAAGCATTAAATAATGTACAGGCTTATGTGCGTCAAGCACAGTTGAATACTATTAATACTGAATGTTACCTAGATTGATTATTATTACTATTCTTATCGATTGAAGAACATTACTTACTTACAACTGTTACCCTCAATGGAACATAGACCGTCAACCAGCATTCTCCAACTCACTCTGTCCTGGACCTACTCGTCTAGTTCTATCCAATTTTTGTTCATTCTTCTTATGTCTGTCTCCACTTTTCGGTGTAATGTGTTTTTTCGTCTTCCTCTTCTCCCTTAACCCTCAGGATTCCATGTCAGGTCTTGTCTTGTAACGCAATTGGGTGATTTCCTCATTGTGTGCCCAATCCACTTCCAGCACTTATTCCTCATTTCTTCCTCTACTGAATGGAATCTGGTTTGTTGTCTCTCACAGTAACTTGTTTCTGATAGTGTCTGACCATCCGATCCCAAGTATCTTGCGTAGACAACTGTTAATAAACACTTTTATCTTTTGGATAATGGCTTTCGTAGTTCTCCAGGCTTCTCCCCCATACAGTAGAACTGTCTTGACATTTGTATTGAGATTTCTGAGTTTGGTGTTAGTTGACAGACAATTTTTTTGAGTTCCATATGTTTTTCAGTTGTAAATATGCTGCTCTTCCTTTGCAGATCTTCATCTTCACATCTGCATCTGACCCACCGTGTTCATCAATGATGCTACCCAGATATGTTAAGGTTTCCACATCCTCCAAAGCTTCTCCGTCAAGTGTAATTTGATTGGTGCATATTGTATTGTATCGGAGAGTCTTGCTTTTCCCTTTGTTTATATTGAGACCTACTGATGCTGAGGCTGCTGATTGAAGAACACACAAATAACAAAAACGGGCTTAAAAAAATATAAGGCTTTATTAATATCTTCCTATTCCCAAATTGTATTTTATACTTCACCATTTGTTTCTTTAATGCTCGCTCTCATTTTGTATATTATCTATACTACTTACTATTATTCAGTAACATGTTTTATTCTAAATCGTTTCTGAACACAGGATCCTTATGTCTCAGTACTTACATGTATTTTTTACGTTTAACCGATTCTATTGTTGTAGTTACAATCTTCTAACTTTCTTAGTAGTTCATTTACATTTCATATTTTCATTGAACAATTTTACATTCGTAATCACTTCCATATATACGGTGTTACGTAACTCGTTTGAATTTGTTGCTTGCCACAATTGA